CTAGCACTCAAATCCATGTAATTGAGTGGGTGTGGTACACGTATAATACATGGTACTAGTTTTCTTGATGCATGAGTTGTTAAAGTTACTTCAGTTAAAGATTTTCTCAAGAACCAAATAGCCAAATGTGATCTCTCAATTCTTAACGGAGATCAATCTCTATGGGAGTATGTTGCCCTGTAGTTTAAGTAAAGCTCAACCTGAAGGACACCAATGCTATCATGCAACATTAGGGCAACTTGTGGATCGATTCACAAACATTTTCGAACAACAAAAAAATCCTAAATTCATAATTAGAGCCATTTGTGGGAATAGGCAAGTTGAACTTCAGTGACGAAACCCCAAGAGGTCTGGCAAAAATTGTGACTGCGCTACAAGAAAAGGCTGCCTGTAGATCTAAGAATAAGGTAATTCTTTGCCATTCTTCACCTGTACATCTATTCTTTGATAATAAGAAAGTGTACGAGAATCTTTTGTACACGGAATGGTTTACCATCTGCCCTTAAAGCTGCTATAGTTAATCTTCTATAAATGCGCCTTCTCCATAAGTGCGCCATGTGTCCTGGTCCCAAATATAGTTGTTTGCCATAATCGTTTTTGGAGGAAAAGTGATTATGGCAATAATTACGGATTCTCGATATTCTTTATATGATTAACTATACATTTATATTCAAATAGTTATCGAGATAATTTTGGCAATTAATAAAATTAATTATGGCAACTATGAAAACTAATTATGGCATTACAGATACAGCAATGACCAATTATTAAGAAGAGCAATTATGACGAAACAATCAGTCTCTATTTTAAATGCGCACACGTTCCGGTCACGCGACAATGTTTTAATATAATAATAAAATTTAATAATTCCCGTGTTACATAATAATGATACTTTTTAGAGAATTATTAGAATGACAGAATAACAGAATAAGAATACATATGAAAAAACTTTGTATTTTATAGTTGGAATTATTATAGACAACAGATAAAATTAAGGATTTTTAATGACTAAAATCTAATTACATTTCAAAATTATTCGGTAATTATACCAAACAAAATGTCAGTAAAACAACTTTATCTAATCCCAAAAATATTAATCTGCTTATTTGCAGAAAATTGACCAGAAAAGAATATGTTCATGAATCAACAACAATAACCAGTATTTTACAAAAGTAAAAAATACCTGGCACCAAATCACCCAATCTAGAAGCAAAAAGACATAAACTTGTGACTTGAGTTGGCCCTTAAAAGACTATTTTTGTTTTTTTATTAGAATTTTGTACGGAAAACATCTGAAAAACATGGAAAGTGTACAGAGCTTTGCCTGAAAAGAGCAATTTTCCATACCTTTGTTGTATGGAAAATGTTACAAAACTTACTATTACGGAAAAATGTTCATTTTATTATTATTATTATTGTGACTTTCTGTGTGTTTTCCGTATGTTTTCCCGTATTAGTATTAGTATTAGTATTAGTAATATTATGAATATAATTGGTATTCTAACATTCACTGAAAATGTATTATTATGGAAAATGCATTAGCATGGAATCTATATTTTCTGTAAATTCCGTACATTCTTCATACAAAAATGTAAAAAGTACTCTTCAGGTAAAATTTTGGGCGTTTTCCGTGAAGTAAAAATAGAAAAAGTACAGTTCTTCCAAATTTATTTTTCATGGGGCAAGGGCTGCACTCACGGGGGTCGATTGTACTACTGTTGTTGCCAAAGAATATAACATACTTGTCCCAAAAGTCATTTGCTTCGAAACATTGTCAAGCAATGAAGAGAATATGGTCGTTCAAGTTTAAATGTTTTAGGGGTTCCCCTGCATATTAACAGCATTACTTCGATTTGCAACCAACCCATACGGCATGCATCTTGAAGCCAAAAGGCATGGTAAAGATGCAATTCTCGGTGCTTTTAAAGATATTTCGTTTGTAGACCGTTGGTACTTTCATTAAAAAGCGATCCTGTACTAGAAATTGGCACTGCCTAAAAATTCTTTAACCAGTTAACTTACTGTGAAAATCCTCCAGTTAACCAGTTACCATTAATTTTATTATCATATTAGTTAAAACCATCAATTCTCGCTATAATAATAAAGGAAGGATCTTTATATATCTATAACAGGCTCAGAATTTAAGTGACCCATATATAAGTTATTATCCTGTATAACCGACATTTTTCCCAAGACAAATGGTCCCTCATCATATTAATATATTAATACTGATAAATAGAAAATATTTGCATTGCAAGCAAAGAATTAATTTTATTAATATATTTGTATAAAAGGTTATATGCAGAGACAGCCACCAATGCCACTGAACAATAGTAAAATAACTAAAAAATTAAATAATTCTGTTAACGCCACCAACTCCAAATGCCATTGAACAACAACGAACAAATATTATGTCGCCTCCAATGAAGCCGGACAAGAAAAAACCAAAAGACAAAAAGAAATTGTGTGACAAGTTTAGTAATTGAAAAAGTATTTATATTCAGAGAAATAAAATTTATTTATAATTACATTACATTTTTGAATAATAAAAAGAAATATATATATATATATATCATTTACAAACAATTCAATAAATATTACCCAGAGTAGCATCTTGACTGTTTGGCCAGCCAAGAGAAAGACCACGCGACCAAAGTTTTTAATAGCTTTAATATGAAATGGTCATATGATTATATAATAGACCAAAACGGTCAAAGCAGCTAATGCATTATTATTGTGTAAGATAGGTAATAGGTAATGGGATTTATTAATGTCGTGTGACATTGAACAGTTAAATTGACCGGTTAAAACGATTAAACGGGTGACGGTGTCAATATTATTATTAATATCCTGTGCATATACAATTGAAGATGACTCTTGTTCTTCAAACCTAAACAAATGAGAACATCTGGACACTAAGAGTCAGATACTCGATCAACAATGACACAAATGAATGGCTTGTATTTTTGAGAAACTTTGTAATCTTATTTTTACTAATTTACAACTTGGAGGTAAATATTAACCAGGAGGTCATTGAAACGCTTGCTCTCTAACAGTGCAGACAAAATCTAACCATAAAACATATTATTCGGTGATATAATTAGATATATACACTATCGTGACGAAATATATAATACATGCATGATTTGCAAACAAAGAACTCACATTTTTGCTTACTAATAATAATCATTTCTATTTATAATTAATAATGGTCAGTTGTTATTAGTATGATGAGTACAAAGATAACATTGACTTAGTGATTTGAGGTTTCAAATCAAAATCATCTTTGAATGTATTTTTTTATAAAAAAATCATTCATTATTAAATATAGTTTAATTCTATTTTTATACTACTCGAACTAAAAATATATCATGACTGGTCAAAACAAAAAAGGTCATAACTTATTTACAAAATAAAAACCTACAAAATGATATTATAATTGTTCTGTTGAATATGAAAGACATTCCATTCCTTGAAAATAGGTTGTAATTGTGCATCGGTGAATGTGATGATCGTAAGAGTCATAGTATAATATGTGAGTTTACACAATACCATCCATCTCATTGCACATTAATTAGTGAAGATATTGATGATACATTGAATAATAATAACAATAACAACGACAACAACAACAACAACAATAATAATAGAATAGTAGTACCAGTGAACCATTGGAGGAAAATAATAACAGTAGTACACAAGCTGTTTGTCCAAGCAACCAACATGTCAAATTTATAAACTGGTTTAATAATAACAAGATGTTATAAACATCACAATTGTACAAAAATCATTACTTAAAGAGGGGTTAGTACCAAATCTTGCCGTATAAGCAAGTGTTTATTTGACAATACCAGCAAGTTCAGAGAATTTTTTCATCGTCTGAAAATTTTTTTACCAAAAAGATTCGTAATGCACTTTTTAAAAAGAAAATTAAATGATTTTTATTATTTAAAAATAATTTAATAATTTGGTATTAGTATTAGAGTTGATAGGCTTAGCCGGCTAAGGTTTTTCACCGGCTGATATCACTGAATAAATCATCGATAGATGAATAACTACATAAACAAGTTTTAAATTTAAAACTTTACAAATTTTAGGCTTTTAAAAATCAATTACTTGCATCCTTCGTATAAAAGTACTCGGCTTAAAAAAAACCAATTCTTGGATCTGTTTGTACCCACACGATTTTCTTTTCCAACTATAGGGATGTGACCATCTGAAGGAATTTCTTTAATTAGAGGTAAAGAAAATCATTGGTTTATGACACAGAAAAGTGGCGTTCTTTGAAGGTCAATATATTCCTAATCGAGAAAGCCATGGAAAAATTTTAGAACTCCAAGTTGGTAAATTTAATTATAAGCAAATTTTGGGATCGACATTAAGAAAAAATATCATATTCATTTTAATTTATAAAGGAAAGTGATAGACAGTCTAGTTTTTTTTGTATCAATGAAATAAAAATATTCATGTTGGCTGTGCGTGTTTTCACAATTAAATTTTAATCATTAGGTTTAGTTGATATAATAATAATAATTTAATTGAAATCATATGATCATTTTTTTTATGAGGCGTACAAAAATCATCAATAATGGGTAATTTAAATTTATATGTAAAATTATTTTTTTTATTTTTTTTTTTTTTATTATACAGTTAAAAACGGTTAAAAAAAAATTTGGAAAAATTAAAATATAAAGGGGAAAAAAATATACAATTTAAAAAAGAAAGAAGTGAAAAATAGAATAAAAAAATTTTTTGTACAAGTAGTAATTGATAATATATACATATTTGTATATATGTTGTATATATAAAATATGTAAAATAAAATCTAAATATTATATTATGTATTCTAAAATTTAAAATTGCATTTTTATCTATTATTGTGATGAATATGTTGGTTGATGTGTGTTGAATGTTCAACCGCCAGTTCATCCAAAAGTAAAAGTAATAAAGGAAGAGATGAAAAGAGATGGATTATACAGTAAAGATTCATATATATTTCTTCAATATTGTAATCTTATTCCATTTACAAACATTTCATCATAGCTTTCCATTTCCAAGTCATAAAAATGTGCTTTTTTATTATCAGACCAACTCTCGTCAGCAAATTTTTCAAAATTAGGAAAACTCGTATATTCTAATGAATCAGGTGTTGAAAATATTGAAGATGTTGGAGTTGATGGAATTTCACTTTCTGGAGTTTGCCCAGAAGAGCTGTTAGTTTTAAACGAAGATGATGATGACGAGAATAATAAATCAGGAGCAGAAGAGGCTGTTGGTAAAGAAATTGGACTAAAAGATAAAGATCTTATTGAGATTGGTGATTTGTTGTTATTACAAACATTCGATCTTCTACGAGTGTGTATTGGAGTATAAGAGAATGTTGGGTGTCTATGTAACGAATAATTTATTATTATGGGATCCAAGGTTGGTTCTGGAGATGTTGAACGTGAAGAAGAAAGTGAAGCCGTTGGTGAAGAAGAAAGATCTTGCATTTGATTATTATTGTTGTTGTTGTTGTTGACAATATTATTTTTGTTGTTATCACTGCTATTGCTTTTGCTATTCTTATTAATTAAAATTAGTTGTTGCATTTTTTTGCCTTGGATCTTTTTTCTTTTGATATTTGTTGAATATTTTGTTTTTTTTTTGTTTTGAATATTATATATTTTGTTCTAAATTATTGTTTTTTATCGTTGGTTGGTTGTTTTCAAATTTTAAACACCTATCTATCTATCTATTCAATATTTATTATTTATTATATATTATTAAAAATTATATGTAAAAATATAAAATGTTATTTTTTGAAAGATGTTTTTTTCTTTTTTTTTGACCCCGTATTTATATATTTTTTCTGTGACGATCATGTTTATTAATAAGTGGTCCTATTGCAACAATAATAAATAAAATTACATAAATCAATCAATCAATCTATTGAATAAATAAAAAAACCACTATATATAATATATTTATTATAATTATAATATAAATAAACTTTACCTTTCATTTATAGAAACCATAGCTTCTTATTTATAGTTTAGAACATACTAGATTATATATATCCTTCTCAAAATATACAATTATTATCTTCTATTGTTACCAAATATCAACCATAATTACAACATAAAGAAACGAGAGAATAAATATTATCGGTACACAAACTATAATAATAATATTTTTTGAATTTATCTCGGAAAAATAAGGAAATTTCCAGTTTTAATACTCATAATTTAATAATTTAATATTTCATCATTTATCCACTTACATTTATTTATGCATATAAAACTTTTTTAGTTGAAACCACAAAAAAAAATTTATTTGGTCACAAAAGGTACAACAATTCAACCACACAGTAAATAGTTTGACAACACGCACGCTCACCAACTCATAATTCAAAACACCACTCAATTTAATTATACCCGTTACCGCGATTGCTCATGCTGTTATCCATAAATGATTTAATTTAACTTGTGCTAACTTCTAATAAATAATATAAATAATATATTAATAACACAATATAATTAAATGGTAAACGATAATGTATGAAATAATAAAATTTGGTTATTATTTTTGAAACAAACAAACAAATTCATTATAATCACGTGCGGTAGGTACGTACTTGGACCTCGAGTTTTGCAATAAATAATAGAGTTTTATTGGTTACATAAATTTTATTGAAAGCTGATTTTTGCTAAATTTTGAAACCTTTGTATGGCAAAACGGATAAGCATGGTGATTCTAGAAAATATTGATGATTTACTTGCAACTTTAAATTTATATTTTGGCCGTGTAGTAATTCAACTTTGAAGAAATCATTGACCAATTTATCATATACACTTCCTGGAGAAAAGTTTCAGTCAACCATAAAACAATTGATTTTAAACATGATAAAAATATAAATGATTTGTAGCTAAATTTCTTAAAAATGTGCATGTAAAATTCAAAGTTCCTGCGACTTCTAGGAAAATGGTAATAGTGATCCAAAAAAAAAATATAGCCTGCAAAAAAAATCAATTTCTCAAAAACTTACATAATAACCACATCTGAAATTTTTGATATATGATGATGATAGGTTTAAATCTGATAAAACGCGTCTCGTGTTTTTTTATATATTTTTTTGTTATTTACTTTTTTTTAATAAAATTAAACATTTTTTAAAAAAAAATAAATATCAAATTTAAAAGAAATTGAATGCGGTCAAATAATAAAAGCGGTTTCACATTTCTATGTATTATTTCTAAATCACTTGGTCTTGCTAGAATTACTATGAAGCGGGCGTCTTAAACTTTTGGGTGTTGATAGAAGCTGTTATTACAAATAACGGGACAACCAACAAAGCACTGTCTTTATAAATAGTTCCTTTATTATTTGAATTATAAATCGACAAAGTTTTAAGTATGGTTGTATTGTATATTTTTGAGAACTTAAGCTACGAATTGATATAGATTATTTATATTTTTACTATGTATGTTTTTGTTCAATATTAATTATTTTATGGTTGACTGAAACTTTTGCCCAAGCCAACCTTGTAAAAAGAGTGGTTTTTGTGAAAATAAATAAATTAATATACAAGAAAGTTCACAATTATCTTTCTCGTGATAACGGAGTTAATATTATGACCTTTCTTCTTCCTTATAATCATTGAATTCAAAAAAACTATTCAAGGAAACATTTTATTAAGTGCACCATTTCCTCTCTTCTTTTGAGAATCCATAATCGTTTTTCTTCTTAATTTTATGGGTCCTATCAAATTTTGTCGAGTCATTTTGTTGCCTGTACATTTACCGTCAAGTTTATAATAATAATCCAAAAAGTTATCATCGGTTTTTGTAGATCAATAGCATATTTGTTATTATTATCAATCTTTTTTTTGTAAAAAAATAATCATCAATCTCTAAATTCAAAATATAATGTATCAACAACGTGTAATTAATCAATGTTCTAGGTCAACAACTACTAGTGCCCTCTCAAGGAAATGGTTAACCACTACCACGACCACAAAACAACTTAAATATACTTATCCATATATAAGCAAACCAAACTTTACTTCCAACATGGTGTATTCCTCCACTTCTCCTCTTGCTTTACTACAACTCCGAAATCTTTCTTCTACTATTCCTAAACTCGACTTATTTTCTCCACTGGATACTTTTCCTCGTAGGCACAATGGTTCTTCTGAAACAGAAATAAAATCTATGCTTGATACTGTTGGTGTTAAAAATATGGATGATTTGGTTTCAAAAACTGTTCCGGAAAACGTCAAGTCAGAAAATCTTTTAAATTTACAACAAAAAGGATTATCGGAAACCCAATTGCTTAAATACTTAAAATCAATTGCATCAAAAAACAAAATCTATAAATCTTATATTGGAATGGGTTATACTGATGTTATTGTTCCTCCAGTAATTCTTAGGAATGTTTTAGAGTCACCTGGATGGTATACACAAGTAAGTAAACAGATTCTTTTTTTTTTAATAGTTATTATTTGTTGCATGGCCCAGAAAAAGAACTTTCCAGTGAAAGAAGTGACTTTCTTAGTTTTAGCAATCGATAAATCATATAAATATCTGTGTGTATATATATATATATATATATATATATACAAATTGAGAAAATTTTCATTCATGGAAATTTATCATTGTGAAAGATTGACGTCGTATTTTACTTATAGTATACTCCCTATCAACCAGAAATATCTCAAGGTATCATCAAATTAAAAAATCATCTATTTAAATCTTAATATATTAATATTTATAATAATGATGATGATGATAATTAATCATTAAAATGTATATATATATTACAAAAAAGGTCGGCTTGAATCATTATTGAACTTTCAAACTATGGTGACGGATTTAACGGGTATGGATATTGCAAATGCATCTCTACTTGATGAAGGAACTGCTGCTGCTGAAGCCATGTTAATAACATGTGCTGCTACCAAACAAAAACATAGCACTTTCTTTATTGATGAAAATTGTCATCCACAAACAATTGCATGTGTTCAAACAAGAGCAGAATGTTTTGGCATTAATATAATAATCGGTGATGCATTAAATTATGATTTCACTCAACAAAAAGATTTATCTGGAATATTAATTCAAGCAAGTATAAAAAAATTTTTTTTGAGTAATTTTCATTCTCATTTTCATTTATTATAATTTAAAAAGACTTTATAATTTATTGTTATTGTATTCGTGGTTGTTATAATTGATGTATAGTATCCTACAACAGTTGGATCAATCAATGACTATTCCTCTCTTGCTGATACAATTCACTCACTGGGTGCCCAAGTTGTCTGTGCAACAGATTTGATGGCTCTTGCTTTACTCAAACCTCCTGGTGAATGGGGTGCTGATATTGCAATAGGCAACAGTCAGCGATTTGGCGTTCCGTTGGGTTATGGTGGTCCACATGCTGCTTTTTTTGCTTGTCGGGATAAGAATAAACGTAGAATGCCTGGTAGATTGATCGGCGTATCTAAAGACTCATCCGGTAATAAAGCATATAGATTGACTTTACAAACTAGAGAACAACATATTAGACGTGAAAAGGCAACAAGTAATATTTGTACTGCTCAAGCATTATTGGCTAATATGGCCGCCATGTATGCTATTTATCATGGACCTAAAGTAAGCAAATAAATAAATAAATAAATATATATATATAAAGATAATTTCATAATTAATTGTTAAATAATCTTTCATATACACCTAATGAATGTATAGGGAATACTTGATATTGCAGAACGTATTCATTATTTGACAACTACCCTTGCTGATCAGCTTTCAAAAATTGGTTATACCATCAAAACAAAACATTATTTTGACACTTTGAATATACATGTTGATAATGGATCTGATTCCATTATTCAAAAAGGATTAGATGCTCATATAAATCTTCGAAAGGTTGATGACAAAACAGTTGGCATTACTTTGGATGAAGCTGTTACCAAAGAAGATTTAGAAAATTTGATCAAAATATTTACTGTATATGAAAATAAGGTTCCGAAAACTCCAGACTTGTCTGAAAACACAAATTCCACCATCCCGAAACAATTAATAAGGACATCATCATTTTTACAACATGAAATTTTCAATTCCTATCATTCGGAAACTGAGATGTTACGCTACATTTATCATCTGCAATCAAAGGATCTTTCTCTGGCTCATTCAATGATTCCATTGGGTAGTTGTACTATGAAACTTAATGCGACAACAGAAATGATTCCAATAACTTGGCCTGAATTTGCAAATATTCACCCATTTGCTCCAATAGATCAGACCGAAGGGTATAGAATTTTAATTAATGTAAGGATTTTATTTATATTTATAATGTATTTGTATATTTTTTAAAAATTTTTTTTTTAATCTATATTTAGGAACTTGAGAATGACCTTGCCTCATTGACAGGATTTGACGGTGTTTCATTACAACCTAATTCTGGAGCACAAGGAGAATATACCGGTCTGCGTGTAATTGATGCATATCATAAATCAAATGGTCAAAATCGACGTAATATTTGTCTTATCCCTGTATCAGCTCATGGAACAAATCCAGCATCAGCAGCTATGGCAGGAATGGAAGTTGTACCA